AATAAATCTGCAAAAATGTCAACGATTCTGTGTTTTTCTGTCAATATGGGGTGCTGTGTGTACATTAATGAGGAAAAAAAATTAACTTAAATGATTTTAGCAAATGGCTGCAATATAACAAAGAGTGAAAAATTGAAGGGGTTCTGAATACTTTCCGTACCCACTGTATATATATACATATACATACCCTGTATATATATATATATATATATATATATATATAAATGCACAATGATAGCTCAAGCCAATTTTAAAATTGGTTTCTCACAGAAAAGCCAAAATGTCTTAATCTACCTCTTGAAGATGAGTATTTTAAAACATCCTACAGATAATAAAACACCAATCATGTAGGCGAAAATCAAAAGATATAGATATTTAGATCAAGAGGTACAATGTCAATTCCCCGGACAATTTTGTGGTACTGACGACAATAACTACAACATTCATTTGCTTTGAAGACCCAGTGAGATTATCAGTTTTAGCTGTTATCTGCTTTTAAAACTGATTTGTTCCCTTATTAGAAATTCAGAGAAATACTGATTTATCCTGTGCTACAAAAATTTTTGTCCAATCAGATGGGCTCTACTCTCTATAGAATCAAAAGCAAATTACTGTTTTAGTGCCATTGTGTTAAACTTTCCCTCCTATAAAGAAGTCTTTTCACCTGCTTGAAGCCAATGGGAGGAGGGTTGAGTGATTTTTTTTTTAAACGGTCACGATAATCCTCAGTGAAATTGCAAAATAACACAGAGATGATGACACCCAGTCTCTCTCCCCTGGTGAAAAAAATAGTATACTTAAGCACAATTCATTCATATGTATTTTAGTATAACTACATGTATTTGTGGAACACTATAAATTGGTATACCTACTTAAAGTCTGTTAAATTGGAACAACTAATTTTGTACTAAATGCATTTTAGTTGTGCCAAAGCAGTGCTTAGGTTCAACTAAAGTTGTAATAAATACACTTGTTTGTGCTAAAGTGGAACTATTTCAAGTGTACTTAAAGGGTTAGTTCACCCAAAAATGAAAATTAGGCTGCGTTTTACTCACCCCCGAGGCATCCTAGGTGTATATAACTTTCTTCTTTCAGACGAATCCAGTTGATCTTTCAAGCTGTTTAATGCCACTCAGCGGGTGTTGCCTTGCTTCAGTCCAAAAGAACTTAAATAAAAATCGCCCATCCATAAAAAAAAAGTGTCTCACATGGCTCCCGGGGGTGAACAAAGGCCTTCTGTAGTGAATCGATGCGTTTTTGTAAGAAAAATATCCATATTCAAAACGTAATAATCACTTTAATGTAGCTACTTTAATGTAGCTTGCGCCAACAGTTGTACACAGAAACAGTTCCGGGAGCATGACGTATGAGGTCAGCACTGCGCATGCGCCGGTGAGTCTCGTGAAAACCAACGTTTGTTTACAGGATCAAAGGAAGCACAGTTTCCTTACTTTAGCAAAGGAAAACCAGTCTCCTCTTGGCTTATATCGAAATCCTCTGACATTCTTCTTTACAAATCCTCGTTTTGTACTTCTAATTCTACTTCTAATTCTTGACCGTTGTTTTGTTTTGAACTCTCCCCTGCGTTTCCGCGTGCGTCACTTCTGAGCGGCAAAAAACACATCGATTCGCTACAGAAGGCCTTTGTTCACCCCCCGGAGCCATGTGAGACACTTTTTTTATGGATGGGCGATTTTTATTTAAGTTCTTTTGGACTGAAGCAATGCAACACCCGCTGAGTGGCATTAAACAGCTAGAAAGATCAAAGACAATTTTTAATATAACTC